ATATATATTTATTAATAATTTATATTAATTAAAATATAATATAAATAATAAAAAACAAAAAATAAAATAAATAATATATATTAATTAATAATTTTCTTTAAATAATAATAAAATAAAAACTAATAATAACTAAAGGACAAAAAACACAAAAAAAAACATAAAACAAATCATTTGAAGGCTAATTAGGGGTGCCAGTAACCCATAGGGGTGCCATTAGCCTCCTCATAAATAAATATAATATATTATTTTGTATAAAATTATTATAACTTTTATGATGATAGAGTTTTTCTAGCTTAGACTTGATGAGTTAATTTTCACGTCTTAAAAATAACACCTAAAAACGAGAAAATAAAGTCAAAAAAATATTTCATGTATCCAATTAAAATTTACCACGTCACTTTGTAGAAAAAAAATTAAATATAATAAAATAGAATTGGGCAACAGAAAGATTCCGTAAATCACATCCGACAAATATCAATAATTTATAATGATGATAATAATAAATGATATCAATAATTTAAAGGGAAAAAGTGATGAAATCTCTTAACTTTTTGGAAGAAATTCAACTGTCTTGTGATATTTTTTTAAGGGATTCTTTGTTAGCTGTTGAATGGTTTGGTGTAGAATGGTTAAATGATTATAATGATTAAGAAGTTATCATAATATAGTGTAAAATAAAATATAATTGTTTGGTAATTGCATACAATGAAATTAAGGCTCTTAATGATTAAGGAAGATCATGGATACAAAATCATTCAGACAGTTTTAAAATCATTAAAAGACAGACTTTTTTTTACCAAACAAAATTTACTTTTTAAAATTTTAAAGATTACTTCTTAATGAAACTATTAGTAAATTCGTGTTTTCCTTATCCCAATCCTCTCCTCCAATTAGATATTAACACGTGTTTTCCTTATCCCAAGCCTCTCCTCCAATTAGATATTAACACCTCATCAGTTTTTCTAGACGCCATTAAATGGAGTGATAATTACTAACGGCATGTTTGCCTCCGTTAACCTCGCATATCAACTAATCATTTCTCATTTTTCTTAATTTTTTTTCCTTTTCACCCAATTATTTTTTAATCCCAGTTTTTATTATATTTTCTCTTATTTTATTGCATATTTGTTTTAAAAATATATTCATAATTAATCTTAGTATTAATGGATTAAAATTCTAGTTTCATAATTTAAATTAGGGAAAATTTCGAAAAAAATTCGACAAACTTTTTTATTTTGAATGATTTATTAAACTATTTTTTTAATAAAAAAATCATTAAACTTTCTCATTTTTTTTAATGATTATGTTCTTGAATTGTTTTTTTAAATGAAAAAATCATTAAACTTTTATATTTTAAATGAATTAATACCCTGAATTTAAAAAAAATAATAATAAACCATTGAACTTTACTAGTCAGTTGATGTAACTTTTTTTAGGTTAAAATGATGTAAGTGACCAATTTTTTGAAGTGTG